AACTGACAGCTTCTTAAGATTCACGTGTCTCCCATCGGTTCAATTTCAAGGGGAGGACGGGCCCGGGTTGCCCCCAGGTCTTGTTACTGTCACTCGCTTTTTACTGAGACTGGACGGCAAAGGAATACTAAGTCCGCCATGATCAATTTCCCCTCCCCCCCCCCCTCCTTTTATCCCTCCATCTATTAAATCAGTGTGGGATAGGCTTCCCTGGATGCACATTTGGCACAGACAACGACGCAAAGATGTAGGAATATTGTGACTTGAAAATCTGATAGTGACTACTGAATTTAAAGGTGTGATCAGTCGCAAGTTTTTCCCCTTCTGATGGATGGGAAGTTTTTTGGCTAGTGTGCCAACCATAGCTCTCATGATCAGGTGTGCTTTAATCAATAGGTCTAAGCAGTTGGATAAAAAATACCACTGTACATCTGACATCACGATATTAATGATAATAAGATGTTCATTCTCATTCGGTAAAAAAAAAAGTGGACAGAAATTGAGTTGTTGCTTAAAGTCATCAGTTTTCTTTGTCTGTTGTTTTGTTTCTTCCTCCTTTGGACAAGGAGAGATAAAAAAAAAGTGTTCATTATGAAACAGGACGTTGACAGAACACAGCTTCACTGTTATCACTTCCTCAGCTTAATTAAGGTGTAAGATTACACGGCACTGAAAAATTCTACCTATGTTTCATAGAAATATAATTTAATAAGCAAGATCTATCAACAACAAAAAAGGAAAAGGAAATAACATGAAAGAAATGGGGAGAAATCAATGGACACCCAGCATTTTCTGGTTTCACAAAAACCCTTGACCGGTCAATGACCCCGTATCAGAAGATTTACAGAAATTTGGAGGGCTGTCAGTGCAGTTTTCTGGCAGTCTTGAGTGAAACTGTAAGTGTTTTTTATTTCGGCTGCCTCAGGGACCATACGAAATTGTACTAACAGAGTTTCCTTTTACTGCAACTTTTTCTGGGTAGAGAATGGTACACAAAATAAAATCTCACACTGCAAAGAACACCAAAAGACATTTTGTATTATTTATGAATGGCTGGGCCATTAAGTTTCGGACTGTATAGTCCAAAATCCAGCAACAAATAATTGAGTACTCGAAGTGAAAAAAAGGGAAAAAGACTGAGGGGAGCATACAAAGACTTAGGGGAGTAGCAAGAAAAGTCTTGAAATTTTACCCCTTAAATTAACCTAGACCATGCATTCTCTTGTCCAAATATGTAAACATTTGGCCTCCTTGGATACCCTCAATCCTACCGCTCAACTCGCCAAGCCACTTCCAGATTGCCATCTAGCACACAAAAAAATGACTACATCAGGTTTCTGTTGTCATGGCAACCCTTATGTCACTCGCGAAGCCCCCTTTTTTCAAGTGTTCTGTTGCCTTTTCTCCTTCGCCTATTTCTCGCATCTTTTCACCTCTTTTTGTTTGACCGTCGGACATTCCTCGGCCTCCCCAGCAACAGAGGTACATAGGCCAGCATCAACGGCTGTATCAGCAGGTTTTGGGTTACGAGATCTAGCCGATGAATGATAGATCAATCTTTAAGTTATTTACATTTGGACTTGGCCCGTTTGGATGTAACGGCTGTTCCTGTGTAAACTCCCGTTATAAGCGAGGGGCGTCTGGAAAACTTTCAACAAGTACCGGTACATGAACAAACAAAATGCTCACTGTCCCAGCCTACGCCATAATTTGTACAATTAATGCCCTTGCATTAATTATATGTATTTCACTGGAACAAAAAACCCTGAAAAGTCAGAAGATAGGATGACATGACAGAAGATGGGATGACTACAAGAAAGATAGAATGAGACCCTCCTCCTAGAGCAAATGTACATGTACATGTATATGTGGTCTAGAACAGCTGTGTGTTACCCTACCGTAATAGCCAAAATTTTGTTCTGTGTTAACAGTAAAAAGAGTAACTAAATCCTATACACAGTCTGTAATACAATATTTGATGATATTTCCAGTTTCTTGTTATAGCTTGAGACCAGCTGCTTGATAGAGTATATGTGCAGGCTTTTACAGTAACTCTGAACTGGCCTGGGCCCAAATTCATAACTCTTCCTTACTTTAACTATTAAACTTTACAATGTAGCAGAAACGTCTGTCCTAACGTTTAGCATATTAAAAAGGTTAGCACAAAATGTTTGCATGAAAGTATGCATAAATCTGATAACTAAGGATTTTGAGCTTAAACCTTAAGCATGGAATTACTTACTATGGTAGCTATGGAAACACAATATGATAAAATGGTGGGCATACAAGTGCAGAATTCTGTGGTTGTGGAGACATGAAATTGGGATCTAAGTTAATATGCAATGTTCACTGAAACTTAAATGTCTTGGTTGCGCATTATTTTCTAGTGATTATCTGTAGCTAAAAACACAGAAAAATATGTAGACAACAAAACAAAAAACAAGACAAACAAGGCCTAAGGACACACAAAAAAAAACATTATTAGGCCCAAAAAAAAAAGAAGTCAGTCTCTGGTCAGCGCGCGCATCGATTTTAATCATGCGCGTCGATCTTTTTTTTTCCAAAATGTTCCGCGGTAGCTCCAACAGCGCCCTCTATTTCCGCACCTCCTCAATTTTTTTTTACCAAAGAGCACCAAGGAATGGGAAATTGCACCAAGGCAAATGATCAAAAGCACCAAGGCAAATTATGGAGGACACAATGTACATGAGGACACCAAAAAAGCAAAATAGTACCCACCTTGTCTGTACAATCCAAGCTTGAAGAAAAGAAAAAAAAGCCGCGTGGCCGCATCAATTCCGAAACTTTGGTCTGACCAGACACCGAATATTTTTTTTTTGGCCTTATCAGCAATAGTACTCTGGAACATATCCAGATAAAAAATTAAAATGTTAACAATAAGAGTGTTATTAGTATGTAGTCAACAGTTACATACGATTGCTTACCAATTGTTTGCACCGAATCCAAATAAAATATAAGCTTTTTACACTGTGAAACGCAAATATACGAAGCATGATCCATCTGTGCTTTACACATGTACAAGGCTATGCATGTACCGGTACACATACATGTACGTGGAAAGTTATTAAAAAAATAAGTTACACAACAAAACATCTATATACCTTTCACAATATGATTTGTGGCTTCCTGTGTAATGCTGATTGTTAAATTAAGTTTCCTAGTGTTAAGGCTAATAACTTAGATATTAAACAAACAAAAAATATATTCGTCACACGCGAAATTTAATATCAGACACGATACTGTCATGGGATACTGTGGCACTAGACCATTTCAAGTGTGTTTGCTTATCGGCTTTCGTTTCTAGACATATTTGAACTTGGCTCACATACCAGCAAGTTTTCATGGTGATATATTCTGGAATCTATTTTGGTCTGTTTCAACAGTTTAATTGCATAGTTCAAAGTAAAACCATCTTCCCAAAAAAAACCCCAAAAAACCCGCTCAAAATTTATGAATAACGTCATGTTTCAAATGGCACTTGACCATCAAGATGTCTTCAGTTTCAAACCATAACTTTGTGAAAAAATTTAAAAAGCCCCTTTTTTTTACAACCAGGAAAATATGAGTGAAAGCAACTCCAAAAGAATTGCAGATGGATCATTCCATAAATTTGGGGTCCAATTTTTTTTTTCGAATTTTTTTTGGGTTAAGTTAGGACACATTTTTTAATGCCTTACATGTATATTTTCAAGAGTGATTGTGTATGGCAAAGTGCATGTACCTGCCAAATATATAAGAAAAATAGTTTGAAGTCAAATTTGATGATATTGCATGGTAAATGACACAGGAACGCAAAAAAGTCACTCTTTACGACCCAACAGATGACAAAGATGAATCAGATGCATGGTACGTCTACTCAACCAGATTCAACTTTTAACATTCATGCGTGTCTATTCCTAACTGGCTGAACACATTGGCACTATGCTGAGTTTGCCCTCTGATAAATGTCCAAACTGAAGCTGTATCATTTATTCTAAAGTTTATCATTTTGGGTTGATACCTTGAATAAAGGTAAATATTAATGGAAACATGTATTTGGAGCTCTTTGTACACATGTACTTCTTGTCAGTGTACAATAGTGTATGCCACAAGCATATTTCCCAATTGAAATTTTTTTGTCTAGCCGAATGAAATAAATATCAGTCAACCAAAAATTTCAGAAGGTTGAACATTATGACTTGGTGCCTGCAGTCTACAGCTACTGACGTATATTTCCATTTTATGGCACCTTCTGGTTACTTTGAGGGTTATGCCCAGCAATTTTTGAAACAATCACGAAACACAAGGTCAGATGGAGTAGTTCATTTCAAAATTTTCGTGCAAATCCAGTTCCTACATCGAGGCCATTTGTACATCTGGATTTTAATTTGCCAATTGCAATTCACGTTCTGAGTTGTCTGAAACTGACCATTTGTGGAAAAAAATCCCCCCCCCCCAAAAAAAAACAACAACAGAAGGGCATGTGGATGCAGCAATCAAAGCAGATACCAGCAATCACAAAAAGCTGCATCCTGCCAGATTCCAAAGCCACATTGAAAGGTCTATCTGAAGGCATTCATGTGCATGTACTCGTAGGTGTTCAGGAATGGAAAACACGTGCAACAGTGAAATCTAAAAAGGAACCCACACATCCGTTGGCAGGAACTGAACTCTGGACTGTGTTAAAAACATCCATCATACCGGAATGTGCCACTGCGCAAAGCTGTATGTTACGAGCAGGAAAATACGTATAATGACCCATTTTGTCTTTCATTCACTGCGTGGGCAAGGTGCAATAGTGGTGTCATACGTCAATCCCAAATGCTTTGACTTTTTGTGTGTGTGTAGGGGGTAGGGGAAGGGGAGTTGAAGTTCTCTTCCATTATCATGTTTAATGCAAGTGTGTGTAAATTATAAGGCATGCTTTGCATGGAAGCTTACAAGGGAGGTCTGTTTTTCGGTGCATACAAATTGCAAAGGAGTAGTACGTAAAATTTATCTTTTGTATAAAAACTATGATTGTGTGTGGATACATTTCGTGATTGTTGTAACGCTTACCTGTGCACAATCGGAGGCAATTTTGTGGCTACCACTGTCAGAACTGCACGTGCAACGAGGACCATGGCAAATGAGGAGTAATGACATTGCACTGAAATCCTCATGTGCCCAAATGACAGATATGTACAAATACACACGAACCCCCCAAAAAACACTTCACAAAATCAAAGCATTTAAAAGTTGGAGTTGTTGTAATCACGCTAAAATCATTTACACCGCGAAATTAAATTTGCAGAGCCTCGGTGGAGAGTTGTCAATTTCAGTCCCATGTATGCGCATGTTCACGTACATTGTACGTCTGTTGTGTACAACAAAAAGAGTGGGAACAGGCAGACAAGTTCCCTTTCCAGATAAAAAAATAATAAAAAAAAGTCAGATGTGGCCGGCCTCTAATAGTTTATTGAGCCCCACTATGATTTTGTCCAGGTGGCCTTTTAGGGGCGTGTCCGGGGTAAAGACTGTCTCCATGAAGGCACTGTTCGAGAAAAACTTGAAGACGTGGTCGATGCGGCCAATCGACTTGTCCCGCAGGTGGCGCTCGACTAAACGGGTCAGCATCAGGGCACAGGTGTCCAGGAGCTCCGTCAGGTAGGGCCGGTCGTAGCTGAAGTCCACCTCATAGAAGCTGACGAAGGTCATGATCAATGTGCGGAACTTCTTGCGGAAGCTCTCGGCGAGGGCCAGCTCCTCTTGGTTGAACTGCTCGTTGCGGTGCAGGATGCCAATCTTGATGGTCACCTTGATGATGTTCTTGATGATCTTGTCGGCGTCCTTCTTGTTGCCCGTGTACTGGCGGAGCAGCCCCGACAGGCTGTCCAGCACCCCGCCCATGGTGTCGTCGATGAACATGTTGGCCACGCGCTTGGTGGACATCTTGCTGGCGATCTTCTTCTCCACACGCAGCGCCAGGCTCTTGGAGTTAACGTGGGTCTCTGCCTCAGCCACTGCAGAAAACAAAAATACAAATAAGAAATTAATACCAACATCAGATTGTAATTTTACCAATGGCAGCAGGACATTTCTGGAACAGGACGGCACAGTACACATACCTTAGTAGTGGGGTATGATGGGCTGAGGAAAATGAATTTTCCCCTCGTCCCCTTCCATGACAGCCATAAACTTTTTTTAAAGGGGGCAGTGGGGGTAATGAAAAAATCAATCAAGTCTCCAGATATGGGGTGGGGCAGACACCATAGAAACATACCTTTCCAACAAATAAAACATTGTTTGAAGTTGGAAGTTTTCAATGACACTTCAATAACAAATTACAGAGTTCAGAGGTAATAATGACAGAAAAAAAGCAAGTCACACTTTGGACCCCCTATTTTGGAACAACCCATCTTTACGTTAAATTGTGCGTTCCAGCATATTCCTACGGATAACTTTAAACTGATTTGAAATTTGGCTGTTTAGGTGATTTTCTTTTTTATTCCCTTTATATTACTATGTATGTACTTTTACAGTCTTTTGAATCGGTGTTAACATTTTGCATATAAGGATCAAACTCAGATAAAGCAACAGCTGAAAAAACACAATTTCAAATGCTACAATTAATGTTCTGTTTATGTCCCCTTTGACCATATAAGACCATATGTACCGGGGTACATGTAAGCATTTCTGAATACACAATGGGTATACACGTTGACTTGATTACTTTCAATTGACACCATATAAGATAAAAATAATGTGGCGCTTTAAACAAAAGGTCTCAAAGTGCTTCACAATTATTGCCCCTGTTCATCAGGCCATGAGACCAGTCTTTGTGGCAGCTTGAGATCAGCGCAACCTGGTCTCTACCTTCACAGGTACCCATTTATACTCCTGGGTGGAGAGAGGCAATTGTAGTAAAGTGTCTTGCCCAAGAACACAAGCACCATGTTCCCCGTCAGGGTCGAACCCATGTAATGGCACGTGAGTTGAAAACCGTAACCACTGGACCACAGCGCTCCACTGTCATACATACCGGTACCCGGTACATGTAGACATGTATACGTGACACTTTACCCCTGATCCATAAAGACAGCGTACACATACACACGTACATCTCCGAACAAAACCACAGGACACAGTTATTTCAATCACACGTAATTCATCTCCCACAAAATACACTCTACTTCATCTAAAAGCAAGTCAAGTTAATGCACAATAGGCACATGTAGGTTGAGCGCCCCTGCTATAATGGAAATTTAACCAATGATTAACAGAAGCAACGATTTCCGATAAGCGTACAGTATAGTGATTAACAGTAATGTATTTCCAACGGAACTGAATACAAAAATCAGGCATGGAACAGTTAAGCGTTGCAATGTAACGGTGCTTTTGTGATCTTGGAGTGATGTGTATAACATTTTTTATTTCATGACAGATGCTGTAATGAAAAAAAAAATAAAAATGAATATTTTTGTCTGTTCAAAATAGATCAATTTTACTCTTAAAATTAACAGCTTCTTTTTTTAAAAGGAACTACATGTAGAAGAAGTTTTCATGAGATGTGAGCAATGTTGACACATTTGTAGCAATTGTTGAAATGTTTATCCAGCTGTTCTGGGTACTGCACTATTTACTTTTTATTTTCATTTACAAGTTTATTATTTTTGACATGTCACGAAAGCTGATAATAATGTTGTCAATCAATGAATGTAAACAACGGTATCAATTTTATTCTGATAACCATATATACTGAACATGCCACTGTTTTAATTCATTTGTATGACGGTGAATTCCATACCTGCATTTTAAGTAGCAAAATGGAAGATTAGCTAGGAAAAATAAGTACTGTTCAAACACAATGATACATGTTCCTCTGGGGACCTCAGTGAGACCAATATGAGTATATTATGCAGAGTTATGCATTTTGTTAAACCTCATTTGCATAAATGAATAACAAGTAGTGTATTTGCATAATATGCACTATTTTCTCCGTATGGCTCATCACACAACTCAATCAAAGATATCTGAGGGGAAGCGATTCTCAAAAAAAGAAAAAAGGAGAAACTGAATAGATACGAAGCTGTGTCAATGCAGATGTCATCACACACTGCAATTGTGGCTCCATTTCTATGTCACTACTGCCAATAAACCTCAATCTTTTCAGGCATAAGAGTGTGCTCAATGCTCAGTGTGCATACTTTTTGAAAATATCATGTGCCTTGGTTTTTTTCAGTGCAGGCTTTGACAGGCCTACAATAAGGCCATTAAAAATTGGATTATGTATACGTTGTAGAGACTGGACTTGAATTTTCTGGGGGATGATCATGCATTGTTACTAACTCGCTAATGTGTCATACATTATTTATGAACCAAGCATGGTTCTTTCATAGGGTAATATAGGGACAGTTAACCAATCCAGGCACATTATGAAGTCTATAATGAAGGCCCTGTTCAATCCCGAAAGCATTGTGCTAGCTATTGTTCAGATAATCCATCACAGACTACAGCTGTTGCTTTGTACGTAGCATGCCCAATGGTTTCTCCATTGATGGGGGCCTCAAGCTTGTACAGTAATAGACCGTTATCATGTTGCAGCCATCTTGATTTTTCTTGAGCCATTCAAATCAGCGTAACCAAAGCGAGGCTGGAAGGAAAAATAGTCTGGTTCCTTTTTGCACAAAAAAAACATCATTCAGTACTGTTATTGGATACAGGGAACATGACTGAAATGGTTGCAGCATGATAAAGGTCTATCACTATCAATTCTATAACGAAGGCCCTCCTCAATGGCGAAAGCATTGTGCTAGCTATTGTACAGACAATCCATCGCAGACTAAAGCTGTTGCTTTGTATATGTAGCATGCACAATGGTTTCTCCATTAAAGGGGGCCTCACGCTTGTACAGTGACCACATGCACAGAGTCCTCTATAATTACATGTAGGTACTGGATGTGATATGCATACATACATGTACTGCAGATACGTGTACATGGAAAGCAGTACCCCAGGGTTAGCACCTTAGCAGTACAGTCAAATTGACCTAAAGCCTTTGCAACACACAACAGAAATATTACACTATTAATTGTATATGTTCAGGTAATTATTCTACTTAGGAAGAATTTTATAATTTTGTCACCTTCTTATGCTATTTGTGTATGAAGTGTAATAAAACAAACACACCTTTTTATGTGTTCAGGGAATTAGTATGAAATTACTTCTCCCAAGGTGTTGGTTGATTATGACTACGTACCTCCACTTCCCTGAAACCATGTTGTATTCTTCAAATACACAAAACTAAATGCCATTTGCCGCCCCCCCCCCCCCCATATCTCCCTTTTCCCCTCCCACCCACCACCCTTATACAAATCAACGCCTGGTAAATTTGACTACAAGAAAATTCACGGGAAGATCGGATTGGATTGGATTGGATTTCTGCATTGGAGTTAAACAAAGCAATTACAGTCACATCTGCTGGTTAACCTGCTGGGATGGAATTACAATCTTAAGGCCAACATCTTTAACAAACAGCCAGACCAACTGCTTCCGCGCCTTTAATTTTTGTTTTTGCTGTATCCTTGTGGTTGTTTTTTTTCCCCTTCAATTTCTTTTGGGACACATTGGCGTTCTTCAGACGCAATCACTGCCTCCACACATACATGTAAGCTCATTAGTACATGTATGTGTTATGAAGATCCCAATAAATAGACACAAGGACTTTGCGACTAATGTCTAAAGAAAAAAAATATGGATCTTCATTTTCTTTAAAGCTATAGTCCATCATTTGCAGCTATCCGAAAAGTAACTGGCGTAATTATTGTTGAAAAACATACTTGGTTGAAAGATAGTAAGGGGACTAAACTCCCTGTGAAATTATTCTTTCTGGCAAGCTGTCATTTTGAAGTAATCAACGAAAGAAGGCCTTTCCAATGGTGCTTCTTAAGACACACCGTAGGAAATTTAAATTAGTAGTTTGTTTTGTTTTGCAGCGAAGCGCGCGCAAGCATTACGACGCACACGCACATGCGGTTGCTATAATTCATCGGATCAGTGCGCGACATCGCGTATCTGCAATCGGCTCAGTGAGAACGAGTCTCGGACGCTTACATGTAATTCAGGCCCAATTCAAAACATGATTCAGCAACTTTTGATTTGAAATTGAGATCGTAGAATGCTGTTTTTCTCGGAATATACATGTACAGCTGAAGCTGAGCTGAAAATTCATCAGGTTTGTTGTTACCCTTCTTCAGATTTTGAGCACTTTTGTTGCTTCAAACGAACAAAATGCACAAATTACAAATGATGGACTATACCTTTAACTTTATAAAATCATTGATCCAAAATGTCTGCATGTGCATGTGCATGGGCATGTAATGGTAACAGGGCCCTCCAGCCCTGTATCCATTGATAAAACCAATTTTAAGAAGGTAATAACAAAGACAACACTACTAGTACTAGTGTATGTGCTCTTAATTTAAAAAAAAATGTTTGCGTGTATTGTTAAGTTGGAAACAAATTAAAATGTCAACAGAGTGCTGCCATCCAATTATCAGGTGTTAACAAACACAGTACCAAAAAAAGTAACTGTTTTTGACTTAAAGTCATTCTATTAAAATCACTCTTTTTTGGTAAGTTAAAAAAAAATCAATGTTCTTAACACTTCTGGCGAGCATGTATTAGTATTACAGCAATGTTGCATGAGGCAATGTACAATTCAATAGGCCGCTGGTTTCAGGTGCGTAATCTCCGAGAAGAAAGTGACGGGCGTATTTTATTTTTAGTGACCACCCAGGATCCCTCTTTGGCTGTTCATGCCTTGCGGTTTGGCAGTCTCCTGAAGATAGAAGGAGCACACGCATCGAAAAGTCAAGTTAACTGGTTCTTTTCAGGACCATGACAAGCTCACAGACAGATCCGAGTACATACTGCTATTGCAAACTTCAGGACACTAACTTTACTTTCATGTTAAATTCCGAGGATATTTCCCTATAAACTGTCAGGAAAGTGTATTTGTCC